TTTTGACATGATCAAGTTTTTGAATGGGGTGACCTAAACTGGACATGGCATTCTCCAATTCCCTGTAAACCAAGAAACTGTGCTTTGGCTACTGCGGTTATGTCGTTGTTACGCGTCGTTCTGGGACTGCTTTTGAATCAATATTTTAACTACCGGCATTCCATCAGCAAAAGGTTTTCATGTTGTGTACAAGTAAAGAGTGCGAAAAGCCAGTATAAACGTGAATGAAATTACATGGACTGACATACCATCTAGAATCTAGATTTTTCACTGCCCCACTTATCGGTGAATGAATCATTGTGATGTTTTCTTCAGGATATTTCCGTTTTCTTGTTGTGAATATTCAAAGATGCTTTAGGATTCAGAAATCAAACTTAGAGCCTATACCATCGCGATGATAAAGTAACCCATTTCGTAGAATTCAACATGAAGGGGTTAAATAACATTATAATCCATAGTTACAATCAACATTCGCTACACAATACCCCCAACACCCCCGACAGTAAAAAATAAGCTTGCTAATTTTTAAATTTTGTAAGCCAGCCGTCGAGAGTTGAAATTCTAAAAACAAGAAAAAATACGAATTAAAAAACGACATTGTAAATAACGGCTTAGTAAAACGAGAGAATCTAAGTCGGTTTACGAGAGCAATAAAATACGAGAAAAAAAAATTCCGAAAGGACTATGAGCCGCTTTAAAATTCTTTTCTTTGTGAAAATGAAATTGTAACGAAATAGTAAACAAAATGGCGATCACACTTAAAGGATTATACATAAATCGTAGGCAAAATTTCGCTCACGTGTTATTCAACACACGTTTGATTAACACACGTTATGGAGTGTAACCGCGATCGGGGCAAACCAGCGTTTTCGTTAATGCTTGATGTTGTTACAATTCGATTTATTTAATTACCCAAATATACTTCCGGCCCGGACAAATTTTGTTCCGCACATGGTGATGAAAAGCATTCAACTTGTTAAGGTAGGAAATGTACTCACGTATCTTACTACGGTTCGACAAAATGTAACCCACAAGTCAAATTGTTCCAACCTTTCAATCACTATAGTGTTGAGTGCAAGTAAGTGCAAGAGAAGAGTGATAAAACAATGGGTAATTGTTAAATCAATTATATTATAAACCTCATAACAGGAGGTCCAAGAAATCCTGCGTTAACGCAAAAGTAACTATGGCCGATGGGATATCTTGTATCCAAACCCGCGTAGATCATATGATTTGGATGACGAATCTTGAGAATGTCCGACTATCTGGCGCTTTGGCGAAATTATGACAATTTAAGAGAAACGTGGCAAATTGGTCAAGGGAAACGTCACAGGTTTGTGAAGGTTTGTTTGCGTTGATTTTATCCATTCTATTTCCACAAGATTCGTGTAGTTTTGGATGAAATTTCCCAAAAAGACTCGCAACAGTTTGTAACATCTTGCTAAATTTATTATTATTTACTAATTATAAATTTGCATGCGTGTGTAAAAATGGAGTTTTCAAACCGATGATATGATTCCTCATCATTATGTGAAGACACACAATTACTAATTTCAAAATATTTCTGAAATTATTTATTAGAGTTTAGTTAGAAACTATCGTAACACTCACCGTTATACCATAAAATTATTCGCATTTTTCGATTTGTCCAGTAAAAATCAAAATACACGTGCCCAAGAACAAAATTGACAATTTTGCCTTGGAGAATGAAATTCCATAGATTTTATAGATTAGTTTTATATCAATCTTTATTTACAAACCCCATGCAAATGTGAATGCAAAAAGAAGGTCACTATGATTGGACCTTATAGATATGAATATTTTTTTTTATATTTTGCTTCCAATCACACTGATCTAAATATATATATTTGATAAAGCAATATTTCGAGCAGAATTTTCGACTTGCGGGTTGAAAGCTTAATTAAGTGAGATAAAACTTATTCAAATTTAGACAGGCATCGCAATGATAGTGATCCGGAATTCAAGTAATTTTTAAATTATTTCATGTCGTGGGTAGCCTGAATTTTCTTTTAATTAAACGATGAGCATTTATATAAATTTGTAGGACCATGGTAGTTGGTTCGTGTGCTTCTAGAGACAAAACATATAAGCTAATGTTTGTATATATCGAAGTTACTACACGAAAATCCTCAGCGATTCCATTCTCTCAAGCTACGGCATACATTGAACAGAATGCAACACTGGATTGGCCAATAAAAAATCACTGAGTTTTCACTGAATAAAACTTGATTATCCGGTATAAACGCATGGCATCCGCATGACTCGACTCAATCTGTACCAAGGTAATAATATAATAATAGATATCGCAGAATACGACAATAAACAAAACTTGGCAGTTTACATACGGTACTTATAAATAACAGGGGCTTTGTCGCTGAATTCTCGCGACTAATTGTCAGATTTAGGCACACAGATGTTCCATGTCATACGCGTTTATTGTAGTACGGTTGACTGTAAATAAAATGAAATAATCAATAAACAATCACAAGATGAGGGCGGGAAGAAAATGCATAAACAGAAGGTTATAGAAAATAAACTTACATACAATAACGCTCCAAAGGCCTAAATCGTCAGGAAAAGTGAACGATAAAGTTATTGGAATAAAAATAGCAACTAAATTTAGAAAGCAGTTAATATGGGGTCATATGGGGACCCGGTTACGATACCCTCACCACAGTTCTATCTAACGAGACCAAATGCCATCCACATGCTAAGTCAGTAAAGCAGATAATGCGAAACTACGCCACTAACACCATAACAAGAAGAAACAAGAACGACCTACGACGAGTAAAGTCGAGATGCAAGATCCCCGCGTGACACGTCAGGTGCAGCAAAGCCCGCGAAATTCGCGTCAAAACAGAATAGCAATTATCGATAAATATTAGCCAGTCGGAACACAAGGAAGAACAGCGTTCAAAATATAATCAACCGAAAAGAAACTTTTATTGCCGACACTAATGTCGAGTTCATTTTTCCTATCATTAAACTCCAAACGTACAAAAATTATTATGATAAAAAACATAAACGCAAAATTTTACAGGTTTGGGATGGTGCGGCGAATCGAGCAGCGACACGACACTCAAGATTCTAGTATTTTTATATAATTAAATAAGATCAGAAATTATAATAATAGAACCGATGTTACTACGTAGCCCCACCACAGCAAATGCAAAAAAAAACTCGTTTTTATCATACACTCGCTTTGAAATATGTTAATTGTGTTTAATATGTTATTGTGCTTCTTTAAATAAAATGCAATATTCAAGCCAATTCAGTAGGTGATTTATTTTATAATCCGGAGATTTTAATTTGATCGGTTTGATATCCCCAAAATGCGATAATAATACCACAAGTTCATTGTGATTGTTCATCACTCAATATTTATTGCGTAGGATGATACTAAATTGAATTTTTTAGGTAAAATTCTACCCTTGCCTTTCTAACAGTTTTACATCTTTAATACTGTTTACAACTATGCAAATATATGATGTGTCTTAATTCCTTCTTTGAAGTATCGAATGTTTTGAACCTATTTGGGTCTTACAAATAAACCGATCGTGCTTACAAAAAAAACTTGTTTATTACTTGGGTGAGCGAACACGTACTACTTCTTTTATCAATACCTTTCCATCTAAAATCTGTACGTTTCAAACCTTACTCTAGATTTTGTTCGCTTTCCCGATTCTATAATCAGTTACTTTTATCTATTTTTTTTATCGTCTATTGCTGATTATGGAGTCGAAATAAACTTATACTTATACCTTGAATTCACTCAAAGATAAAACAAGATTAGTTCAATAGCAGTAGGTCCTACGTTGATAAAAGTTGTAAATTTATCGTACCATTTTAGTTCGCTTCGATTTCTAAATATTAAACCATCTCTACCTATTTACGAAGAAAAGTTTTAAGGAAAACATCACAGCGATTCATTCAACATTAAGTGAAGCTACACAAATATCATTTCTAATTGACGGCTTGGTTTATTATAAACAGTCATTAATATAATACTCCCATTTAGAGTATACATGAGAATCATTGGACACAAATTAGACACAGGAATGGGTTTTTTGAACTATTGTTGTTATTCACCTTGTTGTTGCTTGGGTAATTGTTGCTGATGTTAGAAAATATCGCTTTTATTTGAAACTAATGGACCAATTTGGCTACAGAGAAACAATTTCTTTCCATTTTTCTTGACTTCCTTCGCCGATATCTCACTAAACCTACTGACAGTTTCAAACCTCACCGTGTGCAACCTTCGCCATGGACAGTATTTGAACATACAATAAAGTTAAAACAGAAATCATTGAACGAAGATTGATTTACTTACGTTGACTCATTTTATATCACGTTCTATTTATCACAGACTCCATGCAAATGCAGAAAGAGGATGACGATGATTGGACCTTTGGATGTATTAGAATTAGACGGTCGCATATAAGTTTCGTCTATATCGTGATTTTTCTCACATAAACAAACCTGTATTAAATAACTTTGAACATTGAGAATACATATTCTGAAAAGCAGTCACAAGTATGTTTGATTTAGTGAATTGCTGCTGATGCAGAAGCGTCTAGTTTTCAGAATCTTGGGAGACCTGCACTAATCGCCACAAACATTTGAGTTATTAGAAAAGCATACCGACTTAAAAAGATCGGGATTTTTTTGCCTCGAATCAGAGGTTCTCGCTAATAGACCCTTTCTTGAGCAGCTCGCTTCCACGAATCTGCAGAGCATGGTTTTGCGAGCAAGAGGAATGCAATTTTTTTCGAGGTGCGTTCATATCGAATTGACATTATTCTGAAACGAGGCACTTCAATTTACCTGGTTAAATCTTTTTTTTTTATTTATGTCAACTATACGGTACAAAAATAAATGCCCATACAAGTGTCCACTCAGTTGTTTCTATTCAGAGTCTATTGAAGACAGTCAAAAGCTTAAACCTGAATACTTCAGATCGTTTATAGTAAAGCCGTATGCGTTATAATTTTTTTTTTATTATAGACAACACTGATAATGAAATGGAAGTTTATACATACTTGCTGGAGTCAGGATAACATAAGATTGACAGAACTTAATGAAAGACATAGAAATCAAGGTCACCAAGATGAAAGTGCACAGTGAGGAAAACGAAAAACTTTTAAGCAAACTTTACCAATTCAAAATAGCAATCCCATATCCGACGGTCAAACATACTTCAAACCATTTTAGTTATCACACGGGCTCCCGGCCCTGGTCGGTACTAAATTACTCAAACTCCAAGATAATTTTTGGATTAGTAATCAAGTACATACCACAAGAAATATACAGTACACAGACCACAAACTTTACATCATAAAAACCATAGAACACAAGCTCAAACCCAAATTGTTCAGTAAGAATAACTGCAAGTCATTGCAGAAGTTTACAGTAAATTATCTTTTTTTGTATACTCTTGGACCTCTGTCAATGTATAATTGTACCCACAAGTTTCAGGAGTCTAGGACATTCTGCATAAAAGTTATGTTATCTTTAGAATCATGCTCAAACAGAAGATCGAGCATAGTAAAAATTCAATAATTTTTTTTGTCATTTTTGTACAAGCTTTTAATAAATGTATGTGTTCTGTTTTGTTTTTTTGGCCACCCAGTATATAGTTATTCAGGCTCTGAATACTTTCACCTGAGATTGCACTTTCATTTTACAAATAAAACATCTCTTCATATTCCTTGCACAATCAGAGCATGCTCCAAGATGTCCGCATGGTATTGATACAACATCCGCTGGATTCATCAAACAATTTCGACATCTGTCGGATTCTTGCATGAATCTTAGATTTTCAGCCATTTCTCTTGATGCTATGTAAGAAAAAAATCATATTACTCATTTGATTAAGCAGCGTAAAAAAAGAGAAATATAGGAATATATAAGCACAAAGTAACGCTTCTCTTCAGTGAATATGAGACCACCAAAATCCAAGTTGAAGTGCTATTTAAAAAATCACAAGATACGGGTTGAAATAACAAATAACATACCTAAGGGAGCATATATAAGGTCTGAGATTATTCTGAAAGATATTTGGATCTTTCAATACAGAAAATTGTAAAGAAATTGTTCCATTAGCTGAGAAGAACATCAGTTTTTATCCCGCGCCCGGCAAACAAAAATTAGCAAAATAATATCAACAATGAAGGTATTAGGAAAAAGATCCGATAGCTTGGAGGACATATCATATAAAATATGATATTAGAAACAACAGTAAAGGCCCTAAGACAGTGCACATTTGTATGCCACTTTATTTATAATCGTATAAAGAATCATATAAAGAATATCGTAAATCTGCTATATGCTGCTTGAATGAAATCTTATGAGAAAACATACCAGATACAGGTGACTGAGTTCTTATCTTTTTTGCCTCATTACTCGAATTATCTCCGTTCCTTTTGTGTCCTGCAACTGCACCTGCTGCAACAGCAATCATTGGTGCACCTTGAACGGCAGCGCTGTGATGTTCTTCAGCTTCTTGCATGGATGATGTATTTTGTTCCACAGGACTTGATAAATCTGCTGCCAGCAGATCTTCAATCAGCTCTTGAACATCTGTGTAACCCCTTCTGTCTATTTCAGTTTTTCTTAGATGATAAAATTGAAAAAAATATTAATTCAAATAAGCTTAGGTACATTTTAGAAAATTGTCATCAAAATATAACATATCGTACTCATAAAGTATGATTCTATGACAACAATTAATATACAATATTGAATGTTATTTTTAATGTCTTAGGAAAAAAAAAAAAAAAAGTGTTCAAGTTTCCATCAAATTTTGTTCAACAAGCATTTTTAGCAAACTTGTTTGCCCTTGGTGTCTGTCCATGTTACCATAATATTAAAATGAATGTGAAGAGTATATATAAAATACTTTTAACAGCAAATATTGAAAATTATGACCACAAATATAAATCTTGAAGACTTAAAACAAAGAAGAAATTTGTTCAAATAAAGCACAACGATGGTGTCAGGATTCTACCTACAGTAGTTAAACATTAACAAACTTAATTGCACCATTTGTTTAAATAGCTGACATTTCATCAATATTATAAGACATAAGAAAAGAGCTTGAAATTAGGAAATTCGTTTTTGAGGAACTTAAATTAAGTGTTTTATGAACAATAAAAAACACCAACACTTCTCAGTCAGGAAGGTATCCCTCCCCAGAGATGAATTTCTAAGTTCTTGGAGATGAATTCTGCTTTGTATTTGCTATAGTATTACTAATATTTTTTCGTTCTTTATTATTAGTAAAATAGTTATTTATGCAACTAATCGTCACTGGATAATGATCAATTGAAGATTGACTAAATAAAGTAGTTAGGAGAAATGGAGTGTTCCAAAATAGACAAAGACAGGAATTCAACGAAACCAATGAATTATAACCCCCTAACCACAATAACCAAATTCTTGGAATAGCATATCAAAACGTCTGAATTAAAATCCAGTGCACAAACTTGCATGATCCTAAAAATATTTGCGGGCCAGTAGAAGGGAGAACCCGCAAGATGCCGGTACTGGTACCAGTACATATAATTAAGATACCAGTATACTTGAATTGTTATGAATATACACATGCTTAAACTGTGTTAATGGCATAACGATTGGCAAAGAGAAAAAAAGTATCCAACTATCTAACTTTAGTTCAGCGGGCCATTTTAAATAGTTACGTGGGCCTCAATTGGGAGCCACCAATCTATATATTACAAACCTTCTCATTAGTCTTTGAATCCTTTCAGTTGGGAATCCCATATCTTGTAAAGATTCAATATTAATATTTGTCTGGGTTGGTGGAACATCAGGGGGAATATCGTACGAAACCGAATTTCTAATCGTTGGCCGATTCAAATTAGGATGAAGCTCAAACTGTCGTCGTACAAACTCTTGGCCTTTCTCTCTGATCACGAAAGCGCAACTGTAATACGAAACAAGTTGCAAAAAAAGCTGAGAAAAAGGGATTTACGGCAACAGAAAGGTAAATTTGCTAAATAGTTTTCATCGTTACTGCTGAGAAAAAGCCTTTTTCTCGCAACTAATATGAACAAGTCGTCACATGGCTATTACCTGATTTTTTTTTTTTCAAATTTTATTTTAGTCATATGGAAGTCTGGGACCAACCCTAATATTTAGTGCCCAAAGCATCTATTTCTTTGACTGTCAATCTTTGTACCTGATTTAAGGGTAAAAATACGAAAAAATTATGACAATTCAACCTTCGTGGTTAAGCTAATTCTCAGATCAGAGTTACATTTTCTACCTTTATTTTAACAATTGACAAGGATCTTATACATTCATTTATTAATTTCCCTCTGAATCTAAAGCTTAATCCTATTGATTGCTGTTTTGTTGGACCGACTACTTAACCATCTCGACTCTAAATTTATAAAGAAACAAACCCAGGAAACCACTTCGCATGCTCGGTCCATGGCTCATCATTGGGATCCCAATTCTGTAATCCACCGTTGCAATAGAAACACTTGGTTTTGTCAGACTGACCTGCAATGCAAATATTATATTGAAGTTTGAAAATTGCAGTCCTGGCTGAGAAGCCTGAAATGTTGAAGATTTCTAACATAAAAAAAATTATGCTGATTAATTGGAAAAGCATTGACAATGAAGCTGAATTCTTCATTATGGTAAAATAATGAAATATCAAAAATTATTATGGAAATTATTCTCACACCCATAGGACCCAACATTTCACCAAATATTTTTCCATTCGAATTAGATTATAATTACAGATAAACACAAGTGTTGCTTGCCCTCCTCTGTATTGTTGTCTGCCAATTTTTTCAGCAAACTCTCAGGTGCTCTCAAGTCTTTTTGTGTCCATATATTTCTACTTAGATTTAATCTTTAACATTCAAGCCATTTATAATGACCTATGAACCAGTTTATACAAAAATTTGCAAGCCCAGAGTGCACATTATGCTATATTTAGAGTTAGGTTCACATTGTTAATCGCTGCCCAGGCGGCTACACCCAGCGGCAACGTTGTATAACAAATGTATGCACACTTTAAACAACTATAAAGTGAACTAATATTTGCAGATGACAAGGCTATATTAACAAATCAAAAATTTAACAGGTCTGCTTATTTGAAAAGCGTTTTCATCAATTTCAAGTTACCTATAATGAGATCCAGTGCTTAATTAGCATAAATTGATTATTTAAATTAGTTTACTATCTAATTGACTAGCATCATGCATTTCAAAGCTGAGTAAGCATCTTCTAATATATTAGGTTCGCTAATTCGGTTTGTCTGTAGTCTGTCCAAAGTTTATATTAATTTTATGCACTATTTCCTTGTCCTTGTTTATCACTAATTATCAATATTCAATAACTGGCCATTATTATTCTGCATGTTTCATTAAGGTATAACTATTTTGTCTGAAGAAGTTTCACTATGATCTGACAAAAGCTCACAAATACAATTGCTATTTTGTGAAAAGATAATATTTTATTCTTATTTACCACATTAATACTATCTTGCTCATCCAAGAACCTACAGTTCAACACACAATATTCTAGTACGCTAATCATCATTAGTAGTTTTTCATCTATCATTACTAAATACAGACTTTTAAAATGCCTGGAATAAAAACAGTACTAATGCTAAACGAACTAATTCAAAAAAAAAATAAAAAAGTATGAAAACCTGAATATCTCATTAGGCCTATACAATTTTTATCAAATATGTAATCAACTAACCCAAGTAAAAGAATCCAGCCTTTGCAATCTGATCTTTTGTGGCCCTTGTTCGTTCAGGCCAATTATCAAAGCTTTGAAGTCTTGCTTGCATTGTTCGCATGTGTGGATTAATGGGAGCATTCAAAGGGTATAAAGCTGCCATTCTTCTTTGATCTTCTGCTGGAAGATCTGGTGGTTCTTGTATTGGGTCATCATCTCCCAAGAGAACTTGTTGCAATCTTACACGATCTGCGGCATCAGCATTTTGTCTTTCTTGTTCAGACAAGGGTATGTTTCCAGTATGGTTGCTTGTAAACATTCTGTTGAGAAGATTTTACATAGGAAATACGAAACAATCATTGAGTAGTTAGAGCGTGGCGGTTGGAATACATAGCTAGGCGTTAGCAACATGCTCGTCATCGCATCTTGGATTACCCTGCAGGGGTTCACAATAATGGGTTCGGGTTCGAATCTCATAGAAGTTAAGTTTGTGCGGGAAGATTGTTGGATGCTTTGCTGCCAAAGGGTGGGTCACGTAAATGATGATAGGTGGCTGCTTCTCATATCGGACTAGGTTTGCCATATGATTCTGTCATCTTATCCGCAATCGTTTTCTCTGGCTCAGAATAATACGAAAATCCGATCTTATCCTAACTTGCAACATTTATCTATAATTTCATCTTCCGGTATTTATTAAAGGAAGATTCTCTCGAGAACACAAAGTATAGTGTATTGTATTGTATACAATACAGAATTCAACTTGCTCAATGAATAGAATATAAAGTAGCTATACTCAATATCTTAACTTAACATCCTTAAATTCGGTGATAAAAATTATACCGACGTCATATTGAAATAATCTACCAAATTCCAATAATACCAGTGATTCAATGTAAAATAAAAATAGATTATATTTCTCGGGAAGATACTACTTCACCATACTTGCAATTGCCAAAATGTGATCTGTGTTGAAGTTGAACGTCATCATTAGCGGCCCAATTCCTCAGCACACCACCACAAAAATAACATTGCGTTCTGTCTAGATTTCCGAGATAAAATAAACCATTTTTAGCCAGAGTGCTTGACAAATACGGCGCTGGATAAGTCGGCCATTTTTGATAAGTTTTTCTAAAATAATAAATAGGGTTTTAGAGAATAAAATATGAACAAAAATTCTATTGGCCAATCAGAATTTCAGCATTTGAATGGGACAAATAATGACCTAGGTTCGGGAGTCAAGTCAGTAATATACAATTTTATTTCCTGAATAATGCTGTTAACATAAGAGGAAATGTTAGACTTAGAACCATCATATTTATCCTTGTTACTGTTGATCATGAAATCTACTAAAACACATCCTCTAATGGGCAGCAATCTGACTTGATTTGATGAGTGCAGTGACTGGAATTTAGAATTAAGCTTGACTTGAGTATTAAATGGCCCATGACTTGATCGAGGTTCGAAGAGTTGTTTCCAACAATGGTAAGGACTTGTAAACAAGTATACATGAAAGTAAAACTATCAAATGTAGAAACCTTCTATCTTCTTCCTTGTATAAATTGAGTGTTCTTAACATTCTTCCATGTTCTTGATCTACGATGTCAGCAAACTGAAACTGTACCTTAAACAAAGGGTTTAAAAACATTATTGCAACATTTATAACCTAAAATCAATAAAGACGATTCAAAGCATGATGCTATAAATAATACTTCTGCAATGTCTCTCTATTGTATATTTCCTATACGAATATACTAGTTTCTATGGCTTAGAGACGAATAAGGAAATGGATAACTGGTAATACATTTATTAGTCCACATTCGGTTAGACTGCCCTGATGAAAATGATGAAAAATATCAGAAATCTAACCATATTATTAACTAAGTATAATATATAAAATACAATATATGCAATGTCTTACATTGACTGCATCAGCAACTTGGTTACCGATGCTAACATGATTAAGTCTTTCTGTAACATCATTGTAGTTCGATTCTTAAAAAAAACGAAAAATAGCATTCATATGAAATGTAATATTTTCGTTAGAATGTCAATATATAACAAAAGTCTAATAGCAGAAATGAAAACCAAAAGAAAAACTGCTTAAAAATTGTAAGGAGACAACTTAGAAATAGAATGTGTTTATTGCTAATTGCAATGGATTAGTTTCACCTCAAAACAATAATTGCAAAGCAGGCCAGCAGATATATATACCGGGCGGTATATATCTATATATGTGTGTGAGGTTATGGCACAACATTGGGGAAAATAATATGAGGAACTGTACACGCCATTCTGAATTATTCAACTTATCTGCTCATGAATAAAATATAATCAGGATTAGTCTGTGACAAAAAAAGTTGGAAGCCATAGAAAAAAGACTTCGCAGGCCCTGAAAAACTGATAATATTAAACCTAAAAAAGCTAGCTACAGTTGCATTTATTAAGTTTAACAGAATGTTTCATTTTGAGCAAAAAGTAGTTGAATGATGTGTATAGAAATAAAAATTCAAAAAATTTATTAAATAACCATACCGGCTCCCTGCAAGCTACAGGGTTGAGCAGATTGAGATGGTTCCTAAAAAAATGATATTACCTAGATAAATATTCAAATCTGATGGCATATCGAAATCAATAACATGGTTTAATCATACAGAAATTCAAGATTTTGTCTTTTTATTATGGTCGGTCAGGGAATAGTTAATACATTGCGAGTCCACATGTATAAAAATGGTAGTAAATAAAATTGTAACTGGCTAGCAGCCATTTGAATTAACCAGCAATCTACTATGAAATAATCAGAGCTGCATAATTTAAATTGAGCAGCATTGGTGTCATATCAGTGGTGCAATGCATATTTGAACTTTGTCATCCATAAATTTAACTAAAAGCATCAATACAAAGGTGATTAATTGGACATAAATGACTACAGGATTATTATATAACTCATCATGTGAAATGCATGAATAATGACTAACTGGGCAACAGCAACCAGGGACTTCCCCACAAATTGCTATGGGAAATACTTAATATTTAACTTATTGACTGACATGGCATAAGGAAGTCAAAGCGAATAAAGAACTATTGAACATAAACATGTTTACTTCAATTTAGCCAGTAGGCTACTACACATGGCTGTACATTGGAATGTTTAAAAAATTTATAAATAATATTTGAATAATGATTTAAAAAGTGAATATATAGATGAAAATATCAATGAAATCTGTTATTTGAAAAAATTATGTACGCAGAGCTATAGTATGGAATTAATGTTGGAATCAGAATCTCAGACTTTCAGTGATGACAAAAGTCAACATTGAAGGTCAAATTTTTGAGCAGAAATTGAAAAAGCATCATTAAAAGTTCACTAAACCTTCTCAATGCTCCATTAAAGAAGGCTTTCAAATAGCCCGAAGTTTTAATTATCAAAATTGTCTTTTCTAGTAGTCCGTAGTTGAAGTCAGGAGTATGAGGCAATTGTGATTTCGCTTTAAAGTCACGGAGGGTAACTAGCAATAGTAAGGACGAGCAGGTCCCAAATGCTTAGTGGCACCAAGTGCCATTGAGTAAGAATTATCAGAATACAAACCTGGTGTCTATTATTTCTTTGAGAATTACTGCTCGGACCCAAAATTTGCCTCATTAAACTAGGATAAACAGAATCAGACGCAACATTCCGTATGTTATTTCCTCGTGCCATGGTGCAATCTGTCTTATGCCAACTTCCCAGAGATGGGTCATCACCAATCATCCAGTTTTCAACTGTTATGCCACAACTAGAAAAAAAAAGACCAAATTTTAATTTATTTGAATACAAATTGAATATTTGACCCGAAAATTATAATATCCTATTAAAGGTTTTTTTCACCTGAAACATTTCACTCTATCTCGAAACCCTGTATAATAGAACCCTGCGCGAGCGAGATGAATTGGTAAAACTGGAATATTTTCTGGATATTTTGCAAATGTTGCAATTCTGTATCCCTCATTTTCGTGATTTCCAGATAGTATGTACACACAACTCTGACCTTCAAGTGAATAGAAAAAAGACATGAAGCATAGAGATAAAACATTACCATAATCATTTGCATCCTACCACTTGTACATGTAGGGTATTACTATGGATGCCTTTTTCACTGAGTACGATTGAACTTTGGTAAGACAAAACATTACAGAAATATATTCATGTTAATTGTAAAGCAAGACTTGGTAAGTGAATCACTTAGAATAGACATTTTCTACAGAATCCCTGCATTATATGAAACACTTATACCACACATTTTCCTCTCTTAGCGAAGGATTGAAAGCAAACTTGGCAAAAATATTTACCTGGTGCATCACGATTTCCACTATTGGTTACCCCATCTCTATCAACAATGTCAAAAAGTCTTGTTTCAAAACCTATATGAAGAAAAAATACCTCAATATACAAATATACAACAAATAAAAAAATGCTCTCATAATAAGGCTTCTATTTGAGTTTTAAGCAATTTCCCCCCAAAAAATAAGCTGAGTTAGACAATGTATAATATTTGGACTATGATACTGTTTCATCCACTCACTTTCAGATGCCAGTATCTGAATATATGTCATTTTCTAACAAAATAAAATTCTGATAAAAATACTATTTTTTCAATTTAAGACATTATCTTATAATTTTATAATGCTCTGTTCACTTTTACAAGTTCTTGAATCCAAAAACATGATATGTGCCAAATGTTTCCAACGCTATAACTTACATTGGTGCATAATAATTATATCCCACGAATCTCATTCAAAACCTAATAAATACAACATCAACTTTTAATACTAACAAAATATACCGGTACTTAAAATAAGCGACCATTAAACTGTCACGCTCATAACTAGGTATCACAGTATCAGTTCATTTGGCTATATACTGTCTTCATATACAGATATAAGGGTATTTCCCAAGACACTGCTATCAGTAGCAATGACTGCATCACAGTTATAGCTATAGTTAGTTATATACAGACAGACAGACAGACAGACAGGAAGCAGCAATGCAGGGTTTCAGCTGGTGAGAGAAGTCAATTTTATTTAACTTTTACAATTGTAGTCTACAACAACTTGGTTATACAGTTATATCTACTATCAGTTCTGCAGTTATACAGTACCTGATTCAAGAGAGTTGATTAGAACTTCATTATCAAAATTGGATGACATTTCTTCCAACTAAATTAGGCCTTAGAATTCTAATATCCAATAGGGATATTAGAATTCTTAGCCCATGAAGTCCCAACGAAGAACTATTTTCAGTTTTATGCAATCTGACAACAATAAAAAAGAAAAACATCAAGCAGTTCTGCAGTTACAAATTTTTAGAAGACAGACTAAAAGTAAACACTTGAAATTTAGGCACTTGCTGACTTGAGGAAAAAGGTAAAATTGGCATAATAACGTTTAAAGATACCGGTATAATGAGAGACTATTCAGCTCTGACAATTCGGCAATTACGGTAGGGGACCGGTAGTGGTACGGGTCTTACCACTTACTGAATACAGCGCGAAACACCGCAAAGAGCGCAAAACAGCGCCAAAGAGCGCGAAACAGCGCAAAATAGCGCGAAACAGCACAAAACAGCGAGAAACAGAAGGAAACCAGCGCAAAACAGAGGGATACAGCGGCGCGGAGGTGTGGCTCAACGGGCTAAGCATTGGGAATACGCTCGCCACCGCGCCTCTAATTACTCTGCGTGGGTTCGCAGGTTCGAATCCCATGCAGGGATGGTTATGTGCGAGAGGATTGCTGGACTCCTCGCCGTCGTTGGGTGGTTCACGTAACCGCTGGTCGGTTACGGCTTCATCCACCACCAAGACCATGCTTCCGAAAACAAACTATATAACTAATCCCATACCCGACTTGGAATGGTAACCGGACGAGAGGCCGTGGTTCGCCATATGGATAAGCCGTCTTATCGACTTTCCTCTCCCCCGGGATAAATATGTAAATCCTATCCTACCCTATCCTAAAGCAGGAGACGCAGTTATTACCACCTCCTGCCACGAAAGAATCACGGCGCCTCTCGCCATGGTTTTATGGCGCTATTTCCGGTATATTTACAAGGTTATGTACCGGATTATAGGTCATCATGCGAAATTTTATCTACCTTTTTGGTGCTCCAGAAGTATGTGCAGCAATATGTCGCACAACCTGAATCCGCTACACACACACACACACACACACACACATACTATACTCAGGTTGCGCGCCATATTGGTGCACACACTTCTGCAGGAATAGCATTTCAGGGTGGAGGGAAACGCTGAAAAACCAGTACTGGTTATCGAGCAGCGACACCCAAAATGTGTCACCAGCAGGGGGGGACCTGCCATTACAGCATTACTGGCTACATACGTTGGTTTGTGTTTTTAATTTGCTGCCGTGGTACTCCAACTCAAAACAAGGTGCCCCGAACTCATTGCAAAATTTTTTTCTGCTTCACACTGTTTCCCTCTGTTTTGCGCTCTTTCCCCACTGTTTTCCTCTGTTTTGCGCTCTTTGCGGTGTTTCGCGCTGTATTGGCTGTATTCAGTAAGTAGTAAGACCGTACCGGTACAGCTGTACAGACTGAATTAGATCGTAGTATTCTGGTACCGGTATTATCAAACAGCAAACTACTGAACTATGAACTATTCTGCAATTGCTCAAAATTCTTCACTGGGTCTTGTCACTTGATGCAAGAACCAACTTGGTACTGAAAGGCAGACACAGAGATATCTGAATATGGAAACAGAACAAAGCAACACATCTGTATGTAGATTTCGGGAAGTTTGGAAATAAGTTACACTACAGCACTACAAAGGGGTAGGTATAAAATGGCTATGCCTATGTCCCGTCTGAAATTGCCACTATGATGACTATGTCCGCTATGTCCCTACTATAATGGCTATGTTCCATCTAAAATTGCGACTCCGATATTTTCCTACTAAAATGACTATGTCCCTACTAAAATGGCTATGTCCCTAATAAAATGGCTATGTCCGCTATGTCCTTACTAAAATGGCTATGTCCCTACCAAAATGGCTATGTCCCATCTAAAGTTGCAACTCTGATATTTTCCTACTAAAATGACCATGTCCGCTAAGTCCCTACTAAAATGGCTATGTCCCTACTAAAATAACTATGTCCGCTATGTCATTGGTCTCTACTAAAATGGCTATGTCCCTTCTGAAATGCCTATGTCCCATCCAAAATCGTGACTCTAATATTTTCCTACTAAAACAGTAAAATGACTATGTCCAATGTGTCCCTACTAAAATGGCTATGTCCCTATTAAAATGACAATGTCCCTACTAAAATGGCTATGTCCCATCTAAAATCGCGACTTCGATATTTTCCTACTAAATTGACTATGTCCGCTGTGTCCCTACTAAAATGACTGTGTCCGCTATGTTCCTACTAAAATGGCTATGTCCCAATTAAATTGCGACTCCGATAATTCCCTACTAAAATGGCTATGTCCCTGCTAAAATGACTATGTCCGCTATGTTTTTACTAAAATGGCTATGTTCTGTAACTTCTGCTGTCTTTGCTTTCTAATTAAGCGAATTAGATAAGTATCTGACTCCAAAAACAGAATATATAGTAGGTTACGTGTTCAAATTGAGATATCTGTTAATTTTATATAACAGTAAGGATCTGACCAATTTGCCTGTAAAGATTTTTATTTCCACGGATAATATATCACAATAAACTTAAAACAAGTGTAATTAAATCTATAAACAAGTGTAATTATTGTAAGAAGGGTACCGAACATTCTAGATATGAGCAAAAATTGCTCCGTGGGAAACGAGATTTTTGGATAATAAAGAAAGGTACCGTTTTTGGCGAGCGAGATGAAAAAGATGTTACCGTTTAAATAGACATTTGATCGTGGTTTTCCCGGCTTTTTCTATTTCAATTCGTTCGATACAACAATGCTAATTCCTCACCGACTTGGTTTTCGATACAACAATGCTAATTCATCACCGACTTGGTTTTCACGATTGTGAGTGTGTTTTATTGTAAGTAAATTTATTGTGATATATTATCCGTGGAAATAAAAATCTTTACAGGCAAATTGGTCAGATCCTTACTGTTATATAAAATTAACAGATATCTCAATTTGAACACGTAACCTACTATATATTCTGTTTTTGGAGTCTTTGCTTTCTAATTAAGCGAATTAGATAAGTATCTGACTCCAAAGCTGTGAAATCTCTCGGTAGGTTTACCATCTTTCACAAACCGAAAAATCACAGCCAGTTGGGAAACACACGTGATGTCAGTTGTCTCGTCAGACTGAATCGAAAGGAACTGGCAATTCTCAATTTCCAGAGCCAAATATTGTAAATAAATTTTATACATTGAGTCGAGCAAATCATTTTGGATATCCTTAGATGTCCCTTTCGAAACAGTTGCGGCATCAAAATGATCTCTCAATACTGTATCTAGGGATGCGGTGTATTCCACCATATCCAAAAATACCCCTCTATTAGAAGAGCCAGCCCGTTCATCGTGCCCACGGAGGGACAGCTCGTGACAACCAATGAACTTCAAAACTCCTATCAATCGACCGAGAACATGGCGGTTTTTCTCGACGTTTTGGTTGTGCCGACGAATAGAAACCGCGCGTCCTTCATCCAACTGTGCTGCAATATTAACATTTCCGAATGTTCGGTATTTTACGGCATTGTCCAGATACTCCATAGAAGATTGATGATCCCTGGCACGCTCGGAAAGATGTTTAAGATCTCTAAAACCAAATTTACACCAACGTGAGTCACGGGCGGTAGCAAAAAGTAGGCAATAAAAACAAAAAAGTGCATTTTTGTCCTCGCTGTAACGCAACCATTCGTGTTTTTTATACCAAGTTTTTGCGCAGAATGTACGCCGACGCTTTCCTCCGTCATGGGATTGTTCCAGTGAACAATTTTTGGTTGATAAGGCCCAAGACGTTGTACCTCTAATTTTTGTTCCAGCGGCAGCTGCGAAAACGGAGTGCGAAGTAGTGCATCAACCTTATTCATTATGAGGTCCAAGGCTAAGTAATGCGAAGCCGGAAAGAAGTGAGGAGCTCAAAAGGAATGTGGAAAATCGAAAGCAAATGGACTAAAGGTCTCTAACTGATTCAAATAGCGAAACAAGCGACAAAAACGAAGGCGAGGAAACTAACTCTTCAAGCAACCAACGAACGAGATGAATGCGTGAATATGTCAACACGTTGTTGTAAGAAACGTCGGCATTGTGTCGTCATAATTTTGGGGCTAGCCCCGATCGGCCCCGATGATTTAGTAAAAGAAACAGAAAACAAACGCGGCGAGTGGAAGATAAAAGAGAGAATACGATATACAATGAGCAACCGGGGCAAAATCGGCGTCGCCCCGTTGACGTTCGGCGAAGGCTTTGCGAGCGAAAAATGAACCATGTCGGGAGAATATGGCTAGTGTAGACAGTCTGTGCAACCGATATTGAGGTATTTTTCGAATATTTTTTATTATACCGAAAAAACAACCGGGGCATTGCCCGGTTGGCCCTATTGACGCGCCGCCACTGACTAAGCATGTGAGTTAAATCATGAAGTTTATGTTGTCTCCAATTGGCAACGCATTTCAATACATGGTTTAAAGACTCGTTGTTATTTGTCCACACGTGGACATTTGTATGTGACTTTTTTGCCAAATATTATTTTTAAATAACGGAAGAAATCTTGTTTTGAGGTATCCAACAATACCTTTGCACCTGGTTTTACAGTACGATAGGCCTTCTTCAGTTTTTCAATCAAACTCGTATTCATTTTGGCAATGGAACAAACCGAAAACTTCACTAACAATTGATTTCCGGAGATTTTCACTGGTACTGACCTTATCCTTAAGATAATTTATTAAATTTTCCCTCATGATCCAGGAAAGAAGATGTAAAAGCACCGAGTAAGGCCGATTCGTCATCAGTACCAACGGTCAAGTTATCTAACTTTTTACCAAGTTTGGAGTTTATGTTGGTAAAAAATTCTGTAAATGTGGATGTGTGAGATTTATAATGTAATAATATAGGACCAAAAAACGATGGGTGTTCACCGGATTTACATGACAGCAAGGAAAGATTTTTGAAAACTGTAACTGTGACGTAGACTCGTCCTAAATTGAAAGTTTTATCAATCCCAAGAATAGTTTTACCTGAGTAACAAACCCGCTTCAGATCCAAGCATTGCTCTTCAAAGAATAAAGTTGCATTAACAGATTCCATTTTACTGTGGGTTACTTTTTGTACAAATTCGGTTGTTTGCGTCATGTTAATG